CTGTAGCACAATTAAAAAAAACACAATTGACAAAATGTTCTTATAGATGGTAAACAAACATAGTTAGTAAGATGTTTTCAAGGGGTATATAAGAGCTATTCACTCTCTTTTCTAAACTTCCCCCTAACGAGTACATCTTAACACATTGACCTTTGTGTTAAACTTCCCAGAAGCCTCCCCCTCTCGTTTCCCATCCATCCCTTCTCTCACCACAATGTCCGCTAACACAACAGGTGTGTGGGGTTATTGGACAGAGCCAGTGGTTGAGTGACCTAACTTTGCTTATACTGTAGTCAGTGGTTCTGAGGTCTTCCCCTAAATATAGACGCACATAACCCGGAGAGAGGGGATTACAGGGTCTCCTCACATCTGATCCTGTGGGACATTAGGGATACAGCACACACTCCGCTGATTAAGACAACACTGTTCATACTCAGTATGTTATATATATCTTTGTGCTGACTCTTTTTCCTTATTCTTTATTAACTCCCATATTGTCTTCACTTTAGTTAGTTAGTGTAATTAAGTGAGCTCTAGAGGTGCTAAGGGATTTAGTTACATTAGCACAACCAGGCTAGTCTTCTCGTCTTGCTTTCAGTCTGTTTGCTAAGCTAGGCTAACCATCTGCTAGCCCCAGCTACGTGTTCACAGTACGTACGTGAGAGTGATAATGATCTTGTCATCCAACTCTCACAAACAAATGGAGAATTAATGTGTTTAACTCAGTAGACGTCTGTTTGTTCATGTGATTCAGTTGTTTGTTAGAACTTTTTATAAACAGGAAATACCATACTAGCTTCAGGAAGTCATCATTTTCATTAAAAGATGAAGATGAATTCTACAATTCCCCATTCTGAAATGGCAACCAAGAACTGCAAAACAGTTTGTATTCATTCAAGCATATGCTTCATAAATCATTGGGTTTGTCATTTGGTTACAGTGAGTTTTCTTCCAGTGAATAATGGTTATGTTTAGTTTAACACGTCATCTCCAAACCCTGCCTGCGCTGTCAGTCTACAATAATGACAAGCTGTGTGATGGTGACGTTGTTTACTAGCATTTGAACAGCTGCAGTGTTATACTAGACATGTAGTATTGATGCCTTTACAGTGAGACTGAGCTCCCCTTTTTCAATCACGGATAAGTGCGTTATTCTGTGTGTGTCCACTGTGGAGGAAATCAAGTTTTCTTTCAAAACATATGAAGTCGATTCTATATCTGGAGGATTATTAATTTATGTTATCTTTTTATTGGTCAGAATGTATTAACACACACTCTCCCAAATTCTCCAGCTTGAAAGTGTGTGTGTGTGTGTGTGTGTGTGTATGTGTGTGTGTGTGTGTGTGTGTGCATATGTCAGAGTATAATGTAAGCTGCTATTTGTATCTAAGCCTGTTGCATTTACTGTGGCACAGGTGCAAGCCCCAAACTATTCCAGACACTTTGTCGAACAAACCCTCCTGAAAACATTGAATCAAACACAACACTGACCCCTCTAGACTGGACCAATGGATTAAAGCACGTTTAATGATATATATGATAATTTATACATTTAGTTGACTACATTAAAAACAGTAGACTTTTCAAATGATCAACCAAACCTTTTAAAACCTTATTTTCTTCTTCTTCTGTTGTTATAATAAAGACATCCTATGCGTCACTCACCCTGGAGATGGTCAGGGGCTGGTTGAAGTCCTTTCCTCCGGTCAGGCGAAACCCCCAGGGGGCTGGACCGTCCAGCACGACATTGAGTGGCATGACCCTTTAACGTCTCCCCGCTGTTAGATAACAACAGCACACTGCAGGATACAAAGTTAAAGAGGGAAGGAATATCAAAGTGATGGAGATTTTGACCCATGTGGGTGGGTGCAAGGGGAGGAGAATGGACAGACCCCACCCCAGGAGGGAAGTCATTGGTCAGATTTTGGAAACTGGCTCCCAGACTGTTCTAGCAGCACTTGCTCGCCAGTTTTCCAATATCTGTTAAGCACTTTTTCTTAGTTTCTCTCAGACTACTTCTCTTTCTTAATAGAAAACAATCTTTTGATTTTTTATTACCGCAGCTTCAATTGTCCTGAACAAATCCAGTTTTGTCTCACAGTGTGCAAGTACCTACATGGACACTTGTAATCAGAGCGAGGATGTTAACCAGCCCCCGCCCCTTCATGGCTTCTCATCCCTGGGCAGCTTTCAGCCTGGCTTGCCTCCTCTCGCTCTGGTTGACGGGTCTTTCTGCTCCTGTCCTTATTTGGTCTGGAGGCGCAGCTCCTCTCTGAGGCCCTGGAGGTCCCGCAGGCACATTCCAGCCACTATTGATCTGGATGGGACCCAGGACTCTCACCCCTGAGCTTGTCAACAATCCAGTTTCAACACATCGTCTCTACTTTTCTGTGTTTTTACCAGAAACTGAGTCGGTTTTGTCGGTTAATTATTTTTCATCTCTCAAAAGCTTCCCTCTAGCCTTCAAACTCTTTATTTACTGTGCTCTTTGTTTATTATCACAGTGTTCTATTCCAGCCAGTTGAGGATATATTTTCATTTTCCTCCGCATGCCTGTAATATCTGCATTACATCCAAAATTATAAAAACACCCAAGACTGTTTTTGGCTAAGAGAGAACACACTGAGTGAAGCATATTAAACTGTCAGCACTGATAGACATCATGGAAATGTTTGCCAGCAAGTTAGTAACAGTTTGGCAGATGAAGATTCACAGCACAACATTCATCTTGGTGTTCATACAATCTCTCTTCCAGTACTGTAATTCATGACTGCAGCAAACACATGTAAGCATATATATCATACATCCTATATACAGGGCCTACTGTATAAGCAATATGCACTGTCCCTTTGTGTATAACCAATTAAAGAGACATGTACATTAAAATTCACCTATGTACTGTTTTATTTTTTGGTAAAAATAATTTAAAATATTTTTCAGATTTTAGGTTGTAAAGGTTCATTTAGGTTCAACACATACATACATGTGTACCTTAAAGTGGACCTATCATGCTATATTTAAATGATATATTGTAGATAAGGTATATTTATACGTTTCTGTTTTCAAAATACCAAACAGATCATGCATTTTAGCCATGCCTCATTTCGCTCTATGTGCTGTTGTCTACGGGGCTGATTCTGCTGACCACGCCCCCCTGCAGGAGAGGGGAGACGTGCTCTGATCAAGTCAAGAGGGGGAGAAAAAAAGATCTCCGTACTCCGTGTTTTATTATATTATTATAGGCCTATAGAGTCGTTATTCATTTGTTTTAAAGCTCAATAAATAACAAAGAAGACCTTTGACCGGCACTTTTCTAATTTTGTCCGGAAGATTTAAACTTTAACGGACATCTTGACCGGTGAAAGAAACTGAAACTGAAACTCTGCCGCACGGTCCCCTCGTTCCTTGGAAGAGGCGGAGAGGTGGGTGTTTGTCATCTGCTGGTGGACTAACCGGAGAGAATTACAGTGCTTGCCTCGACGGGGAGGGATTGCATTGAATTAAAGCAGCGGGAGCAAACGCTTGCCTCGGGGAGGGAGAAAAAAAGCCACAGCGGAGAATAAACAGAAGGGTAACCATGGTAACTATGGGCGGGAAGTCTTCTTCGCTGCTTTTGTGGCAGACTACAGCGCCACTTACAGGCCTGGCATATGTACTACAGCGTCTCCAGCGCTTTCGAGCGGCAATGGCCGGCCGTGGCCCAACCCCACATTCCCCTGATAGGTGGAGAGTTGGCCCAATAGCCGTAGCGCCACTTCTGTCACGTCAGTGAAGTGTTCAAATCTGGATCAGTTTTTATCAGATCCGTTGCAGCCCCTTTTTTAGAGATTTGGGTATGGAGGAAAATAGAGAGGGTTGTGTTTTCTGACACTTGGTGAGTTCCCTGGAACACCGGGGACACATATTCATGTATAAAAGACGTACAAAACTGCATTTTGCATGATAGGTCCCCTTTAAACTTTACTTTAATGAACACATTATACTGCGTAAAAAGAATGCTTCTTAAAGATTGTAGATGTATGTAGTTTAATTTCCCATTGGGTTAAAGTTTTTAATTGTGTTGCACCTACTGTATAACCACACCCAACAATGATGTCACGGTGTACTGACACAACCTGGAGTACGTCTATCACTGAAAGTTAAAGGACATGTCTGGTGATGTTTTATATTTGTGTTGAATTGTATTTTCAACAATTCCAATTAACAAACAAATCTAACCAACAATGACCATGGACATACATTCTTGTCCACAAACACATGAATTAGCCACACTGTTTGACTGGGTAACATGTTCCTTCATTAATATAAATATGGGCACTTTAATTTCCTTTTTTGTCACTTGCACAACCACTTTCCTGCTGCCATAAGTGCTTACTGGATGCCTAGTGTATTCATTCATAGCTCAAAATAGCCCCAAACACATTGACCACTACCCCTGCTAAAAACTACAAAGTCAGCAGTTTAGAACATTTGTAACACTTGAACAAATAAACAATTTTTCACTTAGCCGTTTCATAAGGAAAGATTGAGCTACAAGATTGGCCAATTACTGCTGCTTTTGGTATTTTCATCCAATTTGTAGACAATAATAAACAAATGCATCACCAGCCTTTACAGCACGGGAGCTCTGCAAGCATTATTTGGATAAAGATAACCTGTGTACCCTGTAGAGTTTTAAATGTATTTTCACAGATTTATACTCAACATTTCCCACCAAAATTGTGTGTTTACAAAGCTTTTCTCTCAATGTTTCTTCCCTTTAATTGGCACATTGCTGCCACCTACTGATCACCACCACCAATTGTCCATAGTTGGAATTGCGTGAAGAAAGAGGATATAGACATTCATCCCCTCACCTCTGAGATTGGAATAAAAAAAGTGGTGTAAAACTCTGCAACATACCTTTAACCATCAGTAATGAGATTTTCTTTTCAGTCATCAACAAAAACAAAGTTGTCTTTACTGTCAAGCTGAACGGAAAAGATAATTGGAAAGTGTTCATCTACCAGCTGGATTTTATTAGCAATACAGCCCCAAAAAACGATCCAACATATGCTAAGATATTGTAGAAATACTTAGGTCCAAGAGTGTGCATTGTATTTGATATTAACATGAATAACATATCAGATTGACAATTTCATTACATGTATAAACATTTTCAAATTCATGTCTTTAGTCCAAATGTGATCCTGTGTTGTATCAAAGCAGACTAGAGGTTTACTGTATGTTTCAACACTGTAGTTTCATTCTGTGCACACTTCCTGATGTTTTCTAGACTACATATGCATAAATGAATTTTTTGCATCATGGGAAGAGGTTTACGTATACATGGCTATTAAATTAGTGAGTTGGACGTAAGGCAGCAATCCCCAACTCTGCTCACTAACTACAGTAACTTCAGTTTAAATACGTCACTGCCGCAACAAATAACTGGAGAGAAAAAGGCCTACATGCCGAGCTACAATAATACAAATCGGAAATTAGCACCACTGATGAATAATGTGAAGAAAGAAGAAGAAGAAACCAAATATGATGGTGGGTGAGAAAAAAGCTGACTTTATAAAGCAAGTGGATGTTGGCCATTTTACAGCTCTCATACAAAAGGCTTACAAAAATACCACAGACACACACACTCACACACACACAGTGTTCTCACACCAGCTGAAACAGTGGATGACAGGGGGTGACGTGAAGGACAATGAATGATAAAATAATATCTTAAGGTGCTTTAACAATTGTTTTGTTGTCAGTGTCCATCCTATATGCGACACGTAAAATGAGAATAAACATATTCACTGAGCATGACAAGCTAAGATCGAAACCTCCGATATATTAAATAAGTACATGACACAGTGACTCATTCACTCTTACAACAGGGTTAAAAAACAAAACTGCAGTAACATGACTGAAGTCTTTGATAAAATGCTATCTCATCCTTCATCTGACTTAAATAATTCATAAAACATCATTACACCTGGCATGATTATAGCCCATGAACTTGTGTGTTACTTGTAACTCAGCACCTATCCTGGCAGATACCTTACAAGAAAATGCCATGCCTTCAAATGAGGGTTTCCTGCTGTTGACATTTGTTAGGAAATCATGTTGTTCCATCCTTTCTCAAATGGTGTTAATACACATTTTGACCAACAATTGCCCTCTAATAAATATAATACCTAAAACGTTGGTAACCTTTTTGCATACACTTTTCAAAACATGTCCAATCCAGCCCGAGGCCCAATACACATATTAAAGTGTAGTGTGGGAATTCTGAAGTGAAACTTTAGATAAAACAAACACAAAATGGGGTTAAAATGTCCTTAAAGTGCATTAATCCTAGTGTGAAGATGTCGAAAATATTTTTCGTGTTTCCTAATGTTATACTTTTAATCTAATGTATTAGGTTTAGACAGCATGTGCAACAGAGCCAATGATATTTTCGCACTTCCTCATTTGAAGATTTTGAAATGATTGCTTAATATTGATAATTGACAGTCTTTCATATTCTTAAATTCTTATCAACCAATCATTACATTGAGCGATGCCTAACATGCACACTTTTCCACATGTCAGTGTGGAGAGTAACATCCTTTTACCTGAAACACTGGCTGCAATCCCTTCAACACAGTTTGTATACAACAGACCTGTCGACAGAATACTGTTTATACAACACAATGCACTGAATGTCTTTGGGGGTATTTGTAAATGAACACTGAAGTGAAATGTAACGAGTGTTTTTAGGTTTGACATACTGCAGAAAAATGAAAAAAGGTGGTGTGTGGTGATCTTACAGAAGCATCACGCGGTGCCGTTTCCTTTCAATGACTGTTTGCAAAGTTCCTTCGATATCTTTCCATCAAAAGTTAAAGGTCACTGACTGGAGCAAAAAGTTTGGGTTCTCCATCATAGAAAAATAAGGATAAAAAGATAAGATAAAAAAAACAATATTATTTTATAGAAGTTTTCCATTAAACATGGCTAGTTAGAGCTAAATGTTCCGTCTGTGCGCAGCTGACGAGCCACGCGTACACGCAAACACATAAATGTGCCACAGGCCTCGGTGGGGCCGGTGTTGGGAGGTGGTGTCCTGCGGGTGCTGTGCTGAGGGCGCTGAAGTGTCACAGGAAGGGGCGGAGCCAGGGGCGGAGTCTGGAATCATCATTATAGCTGCTTCACGTAGTTTCCTGGGAAGGTTCCAAACAACTTGCTCCTTCGCGAGGTCCCTTTACAAACAAAGAGCAATACAATGAGAACTCTGGCAGTAGCTGTCAATAACATCAATTCAGCTCTCTGCACTCTGGAGGGAAACTGAATCACATGAAAACCCCTTTAGTGGGCAAAGGATATCCTTAACGAATTTAAAGATTAACACAGCTAAACTGATTCTCACGGCTATCAGCTCGCTCAGCTGTGCAGGATTGACTTTCCCCAACAGTCATGTTAAATATATAAATATGTGGTGGTATCACATTGCTATCTAATGGTCTCCTTTGGTTGATATTTACAATGTGTATTTGGTATCATGCCTACTTGATTTTGATGTAAACACTATTGAGGTAGAGCCTTCATTTATAATTGAGTATTTTCTTAAGTATTAAGTAAAGAACCACAAGCTGAAAAACAACAAAAAACATGCAATATAGGCACCAAGAAACACGCATACAACATGTATAACTATAATAAGTAAATATGTAAATTACAATCAAAACAACAACAAGACTCCTCTTACCAACAAACCAGCCATCATCACATTTCTCCATCACGTCTACAACGTCCCCCTCCTTCAGCTCCAGCTCATCCTCGTTGCGAGGCATGTAGTTGTACACGGTCTGGTACCTGCGTTTTAAAAAGGAACAGTGAAATGACACCCATGATATGCTGCAGATACTTAACAGCGTAATATGATCAGCTTGTTCTTCTTTATCCAGTGTTTTCTCTATCTGACTGTGTTTAAATGGTATACCAATAAAGCAAATGTAAAAATATTCAATCTAACCTTGACCTGATTAAAGGGTTCAACACGTTTTTTAAATTACAACTACTGTGCACATATTGTATAACTTGCTAAGCCTTCAGTAAAGATTAAAACATCATTTTTGTTTGGGTAACAGCGAATAAGTGGTGTAATAAGAATGATAACTTACGGGTCTCCTCCACCATGCAGTGCATCCTGTACTAATCGCTGTGAGAAAGACAGAAACAGACAGACAGGAAGTCAACATTTGGCAATGGTAAAGTTCTTGTTCGGCTGAGAGGATAAACTGAGATACTGGTCTGTAATGCTGTTGATTATAATAAATAAGATATCATTTAGGTGTTATCAAATCCTTTGAAAAAAAAACCTGAATAGACAAACCAATCGAGCACTCACATCAAACATAAATCAATATCTCAATTTAGACTGTTTAAAAAAACAGCATACTTTATTGTACGTTTTAATGTGATCAGTCAGAAATACAATGATTTCCTTCCTGCAAATGAGAACAGTAAGAGCATGGTTGAATGAAGACATGCCCCCCTACCCTTCGACCTCTAATGGGGGACAGATAGGATCTCCGGGACAAGATGGGGCTACGAGGAGGTTTACCACCAAGAACTGCGTCCTGCTTAACAGGCAGAAAGACCAGAGGCATCACACCGATAATCTTCAACAGTAAAAAGGACTGAGCAGCCTTCACTATGAGCTGAACACACACGCACAAAGGCTAACGGCATGCTGTGAAACATCATCCATCGACATGCCGATGCCAACTACAATCCTCCTGAGCACACAACGGTACAACCAGCACGAGCATGTAGTCTGCTGTCCATGAATCATCACCGTAGCACTAACATGACACAGTGTTAGTGTACAAACTGCAAAGTAGTTTCAGCTACGGCTGCAACATATTTTCCATATCTGTTAATCTGTTGACTCATTTTGATTAATCGTTTAGTTAGGAAAATCACAATTTACCAGATTGTATTTTTGTAACACTAACCTAGAGTAGTTCAATTTAAAATGATATAAAACAGAGAAAAGCAAATTGTTAAAGCATTTTCCCCACAATAAACGATTAATCAGATTTTAAGTATGTCCATTATTTGCAGTCCATTGATTAGTTGACTGCTCACTTCAACCACAGTCATAGTCAACAACCGTCTTCATTAACATCAACAACTCAAATGTTAGATATAGTATTATCAGAAGAGTTCTTCCCATAGTCCTTTGCACCACAAACGAGATCTAAATCAAGGCCACCATCTTTACATTCCAGCGTTACCTTTACCATAGGAGACATATGTCCTGGGTGGGGAGAGCGTGGAGTGGTGAGGGGGGGAGAGGCTGGTTTAAAGGGAGTGGGAGGGGGAACAGGTGACTCTGTGTCGGGGCAGGATGCGACGGGATGGGACGGACAGGGAGAGCTTGAGGGGTGAGGGACGGGGCGCTGTGAGGAAACGTTTGGAGAGGGGTGAGAGGAGCGGGAGGGAGGGGGTGAGACAGGCGGAGATGGAGATACTGAGGGTACTGGCGATGTCATAAGGCGAGGAAGGGATGGGGGCCGAGGGGAGACTGGGGGAGATGGAGGGACGGTGTTACCATCCTGCTGTTGTGACCGGGACACAGAGGACGAAGGAGTACACGAAGAAGATAAAGAAGAAGTGAAAGGCGAGGTTGTAAATGAAGTGAAAGAAGAAGTAGAAAAAGTACAAGTAGAAGATGAAGGGGTAGAAGAACAAGAAGAAGAAGAAGCAGGAGTTAATGAAGGAGATGCACAAGGAGTACAAGACGAAGTAGAAGCAGAAGGGGGCGGTAAGGAGGCCGGAGCTGGTGGTATTAAGGGTGAGGGGAGGCCGTGGTGAGGAAGCCATGTCGGAGTGGAAGGAGAGACTTCAGCCTATGGAGGTAATGACATACACATGAATACTGAAGCTGAATCACAGAAGATAAATCCTGAGAATTACTACTGAGACCGGAAGAGAAATGGAGGAAAATATTATATATACATATTATATAAAATTGTAATAACACTCCAGTAATAGACATTTTTCCAAATAAACCATGGACATATGACGTTGAACCAGGACTGCTGATTTGTATTCCATATTTTATTCCTTCTATTCCATTCCATTGCAAAGTACTGTTATATTTTACTATATTTTTCTAGTTCTCTACCTGTGTTTTTACTTCTTATTTTTCAAATTCCTCGTACGTGTAAACCTACCTGGTAATAAACCTGATTCTGATTCTGAAACTGAAGCAGCTTATTTCATAATTTGATTATTTTAATGTCATGTCGAAACGTTTTCTAGGAAAGTCCATGATACTTTTAAGTGATGTACACTTTCTATTATAATGCCATAAATTCTCACTAGTTTTTTTTTTACTATATACATTCACATTGTGCAAAGTCACATCAACTTCTTTGGATGAAGATATACAAATCAACAGGTAAACTTCCTCAGTTTCCATTATAAATCATAAAATAACTGCCACTATGGATAATGCTAGATGCTTTTTTGTTGATCTTCTTAGTTACAGAACATATTGATGCTCGGTTAACGCATTAAAGGGGACCTATCATGCAAAATGCACTTTTGTACGTCTTTTATACATGAATATGTGTCCCCGGTGTTCCAGGGAACTCACCAAGTGTCAGAAAACACAACCCTCTCTATTTTCCTCCATACCCAAATCTCTAAAAAAGGGGCTGCAACGGATCTGATAAAAAGTGATCCAGATTTGAACACTGTCCTGACGTCAGGACAGTGGCGCTACAGCTATTGGGCCAACTCCACCAATCAGGAGGAGACAGCCACGGCCATTGCCGTTCGAAAGCGCTGGAGACGCTGTAGTACATATGCCAGGCCAGTAGATGGTGCTGTTCTCACAGAATCTGCCCTTGCAAAAACAGAGCTAAAAAATGTCAAATTGAGCGAAATGAGGCATGGCTAAAATGCATGATCTGTTTGGTATTTTGAAAAAAAAAAAAGTATAAATATGCCTTATATAGGTATGGTCCTACACTATATTATTCAAATATAGCATGATAGGTCCACTTTAAGGTTACAGAACATATTGATGCTCGGTTAATGCATTAAGGTTACCAAAATGGCTGCAGGACACAAGTAGATTTACCCCTGTGATAGATATTTACAAGACAATGCAAAACTAGATCTATTTATTTTAAGATTTCAAACATTTCCCTCCATCTCTCTTCCAGGGCCCTGTAGTAATTCCAAACTCAACAGAAGCAGCTCACACCATGCTCTACCTGTGGGCCAAGTCTCTCATTAAAACCTTTAATGTCTTCCTCTTTATCCTCTATATCTTCATCCTCTTCCTCAATGAACAACTCAAATCCCATTGCTGTCATCGATGGTGGGCTTTCAGACTCGCATCGTTGTTCAATCAGAGCAATTTCTGACTGCTCCCCCCAAGCCATGGGAAGCGATTCCATAGTCAGAGGCTTGTGAAGCTGCTCGTCTAACCTATCGCTGCCTATCAGGTCGCTGGATGGAGATAGTGCTCGTGGTTCTACTTCTGGCTGATCGGATTCTTCTGCTTTAGATTTAAATCTGCCCTGGGTTTCATTGGTTAGCGAGGTTAGTGGGAAATCTATCGGAGACAATCTTGAAAAGTCAGGAACTTCTGCAGTGGTAGAATCATCCATAATCATAGACAAAAGGTTGTCGTAAGGGTTTACGTAGTTTTGCAGTTCAACATCAGCCATTATGCTGCTTTTGTTAACTTCCACAGTTGGTGTAGGTGACTGTATTGGTTCTGGCACTGTGCAGGAAAACACCTCTGGCTTAGAGACTTGTGATCGTCGAGCTATTCCTTTGCCACTGTTGTATCGCACTGAAGGCTCAGGCAGTGGAGGTGAACATGAGGAATAAGGAAGGGGAGGAGGAGGAGGAGGCGGAGGAGGAAGAGGAGAAGGCGGTGGGGAGAAAGGCAGGGTTGGTGAGGTGTGACCTAAACTGAGTCTCCCGTCTCTGAAAGGAGAATTTATGGAAGACCTCGGGGGCGGCAGGGCGAAGCCTCTCTGTGGTTGTGCAGGTGATGGTGCCATAAAGTCCTGAGCCTTATGGAAAGGTGTCAGGTCAGAGGGGAGAGGTGGGGGTGTGGGCGGTGTGGGGGTGGTAGTGACGGAGCGAGATGGAGAGGAGGCAGAAGGCTCCAGTGTGAGGGCCAGCCACTCTTCGGTGATAGTTTGCAGGTCAGGCCTTCTCAACGGGGGGTGAGGGGAGGGGAGGTCACGAGGAGTGGGGGGTGGAGGTAGATGGCAGAAAGGCTTCATGAAGGTGAAGTGAAAAAGAAGGAACAATGTAATTCCAGAAACAGAGAGTTCAGTGTGTTGTGTGTGTAAAGCTCTACACACTCCTCTATGCAGACGACGTTTTACTAATTTCTTTAAATATATTGGGATTTCTTTTGGCGACAATTGTTATGTTGGAAAGTAACCAATACTGTTGTTCACAAATAAACATATGCACATTTTAAATAACTAATTACTGTATAAAGTAGCTGTAAATGCTATATTCTAACCAGTAAATAAAGAACAAATTGCTGTTTTAGAATTGTGTAACTCTATTGTACAGGTGTCGACTATCTTGTTGTCACCTTGTTGTAGTGATTCTCCTACCTTGGTAGGTGTAGAGCTGGGTGTCCTGTTGCCAGGGTAACCATGTGGGTCTATGTGGTGGGCGGAGCTCTTGGACGGGGAGCGCTTGATGATGTTAACATACGACACAGGAAAGATGCCCTGTTTGGTTGTGTCTGGGATCCTCCCCTCGTACCAGTTCCCGTCCACCTGCCTTATCACAATTACTCTCTCACCCTACACACACACACACACAAAATAAACATTGGATGTTTAACTACAACTCAAAGGTTTAGCGCCACCTTGTAGGATTTCAGAATTCAGTTGTATTGCTACTTATCAATGTATCATTTATTATGCAACAGACAAAACTTATCAACATTTTATACACAGTAGCTTTAACATATCTCCATTATAGCCCCAGAGCCTCTTTCAAAATGTTAACTACCCTGCACATGAAAAAATTAGCAATAGCCATTAGCTTTCTGTGAAGTACACAAATCTTAGGCTCCGTCTTGAAAACCGTGTTAAATTGCATATCACTATCGGATAGTTAAACAGTGGCCTTGTAACTTCATCTGGATTATATGAAAATATTTTGTATCTTACATTTTAAACAATCACTACCACCGGATGATGAACTCAAAAAAGTATTGTTTCTAAAAAATTCATTCAATCATTATTATTGATTATAACAAGCCTGGTTACATTGGTGCAGCTTTCTAATAAACAATAAACAGGCTTACCTTTCTGAGAGACATCTCCACGTTAGTATCAGCATTAAAGTTGTAGCGAGCTATTGCCTCTCCGATCTCTCTGACGTGTGCTGGTGGAGGAGGACGGATCGGCTGCTGCTTCTCTGAGGATGGCATCTTCTGTTTATGCGCGTACAATAGTGTGAAAAGAAAAGACAAACCATCGAGACAAATTACATATAAGACACAAGATGATGCACCTGTAGTACTCGCGTTCAGTTTAATAGTTGCAGGCTTACTTCTACATATGATATGGGTAATATCCCCACCCGACCGCGGTGCTCTCCTTCATACCAGTTGTTGTCAATCTGTCGGATGATGTTCACTGCATCACCCTTCTTAAATGTCAGCTCCCTGCAACACATTCATGTCATCAAAGTGCCAACACAGAGGTGTGAGAAGACATAAACTCACAACTTCAACCAGCAAAGAAACACCCGTCACAAAACGTTAGCCAGTGAAGCACGATGGAAGAAGATCAAATGCAGCCCAAATTAGTTGTATTCATGCATATATTTAAAGCATGAAATGAATTAGTTAAAGCCATCCAAGTCTGGTGGTAAGATGTGTCAATTAAGTGTTCTTAAAAAGCAAAACATCTTACAAAAAAAGCACAGCAATCTCAAATCATAACATTGAATGCAATGTCTCGAGATGTGTTGGTATGCAGTTAGGCGTTCATGCTTAAAAGCTTGGTTCCCTTTGCGCGTGCACTGTGCATTTCCTGTACTCACTTAGCTGTTTGTGCCTTAAAATCATAAATGGCTCTTGCAGGCTGTTTCTGATGGAGGAGAGAGAACAGAATAAGTTGTGTCATCTGTTTATGGGAGACCTAGGAGATGGAAGTGAGAGAAAGAAAGCAGGCAAGCAAAACATAAAAAACTGCTTTACAATCTCTGTGAGAATCATCAAAATGTGTGGCATTGTGATCCTTAAGACAAAAAAACGCAATATTGGTATTAATCGATTCTCTTAATGAAGTGAGCGTTAGTGTTATGAGTACAATGTTGTACCTCTCTATCAGGAGTAGGTCTTCTACTCTGGGGTGTGTGGCGTCCATCCATGGTAGAATAACACCTGGATACATCCTGGTCTGTGATTAGCAAACACATGTGAGAAAGGTCATGAGAGTAACCATACTAACCACAATTATGTCACATTTTCATAATACAAAAAGGTGCTGTGGCAAAGGACGATGACGACGCCATTCCTACAGGTGAATGAGGGATGAAAGTTTAGGGTCAAAAGGTGTTTTATTTCCAGTTATTTGGAAACAACCCGGAATATGACTCATGCATCAAAAATAGCTGAAACGCATGATAAAACAGGCCAAAAAGGACCATTTACAAACATAAACATATAACCAAATGGTTTAAAGGAAAGAACGATTGTTGGATATTCAGACAAACCATAAATAAACTGCAAAAAAGACAAATTATAAAAACAAAATAATAATAACATTATAAACAGAGAAATAATAACTTACTCCAACCAGAGTAATATGCTGTTAATTCTCAAACAATAAGTATATCAAATTTAAGAAGCTACACTGCTTTTATTTACAGATCTGATGCTCTAAATTTCTCTTTCTTTCAGACATGTTAGTACCCTTCAAGATTTAATTCCAATTGTTCCTACATTACATGTTTTTTTCGGCATTAGCTACGGTCATTCAAATATTTATATACTTCATGCTTCCATTTGAGATGCAGAACTTTCATCAGCGGGGAAGTGTTTGGTTTCACAGACATCTTCTTAAAACAGAAAACAATATTTTTTTAACACTGGGTTCAATTTGAGAATTAACAGCATTCAGGTCTTACTGAATGACATAAAGAAAGAAAGAAAAGCACAGTAACGGATGTATAAACTGACCAATGAATGAAATAGGGCAACAAGCCCATGCAATACTTACAGTGACATTGAGGTAAATGTATGGGGATGCATATTTGGTACATATATATGCATATATAAGTGTATGTTTATGCAAATAAAAAACATGCAGATATAACTGGCTAAATGACAAAGTGTACACGTGCAAACATTTGTGAAATGTGTAAAATCTGCACCTGAATAACTGAGACCATTTCCATTGCCCTGCTCCTCTTCATACTCATTATTGTTTGAGGCGTCGTAACAGGCATTGATTGGTGACTGTAGCCGCGGTGTGGAGGGATCCCCTCTTTGTGAGGAGGACCCAGTGGGGCTCCCATCTGGGTACAAAGATGTAGAGGACTGACCCCCCTGCCAACAGCCCCTCCTCCCCCGCAATGAAGAGCTTCGTTCAGGCACATTTGGCAGGAGTTCTGACAGTATTCTCCTCAGGATGCTGTCATCAGGTGCTCTATTTCCTCTGTGGCCTCTCTCTGCTTGGATGTGCTCATATATGTCTCTCAAGGCTGCATCCAGTGCTTCATAAATGTCCTGTTTGGACTTGGTTCTGCTACCTCGATCGCCACCACTGCTTCTTCTAGAGGTAGGTGGTGAGCCCTTTTTCCTGCGGAAAGGCACTGGGCTGACCAGGAAGGCCAGCTTGGACATCGCTTGCTGGGACTGTGCACTCTGGATTTGGGAATGGCTGCTGCGGCTCGGCTGTGAAGGTCTCTGGTGCTCCTGGCGCGCTCGTTCTCTCTCATGTTTCAGCATTGTTGTGAAACGGGTGTAAGAGGCCGGACAGCGGCCTTTGCAGGAGCTGATGAGGTGGCGGTGTTGGTAGCCCTGGCTCTGGCCTAGACTCTGGTGTCCAGGCTGGTGATGGTGGTGGTGATGACGGAGGTGGTGGTGGTGAAGGTTAGAAGAGCCGTACAAGCTCTCAGAAGAGGTTAGTGAGCAATGGTCAAAGTCACTTTCACTGCAGAATGAGGAGCCCTCCACTTGAACGAAGTCACTGAGGTCTGACGCAATAGCGTCCTGTTCACTGTCAGAGTAGTCTGGGTTGGCTTGTGGGCCTTTGGGAACAGGAGGAGCAGGAAAGGACCGCCCACGGCCGGGCTCTGGCCCAATACGAGGCTGGCCCTCAGGGGGGCTGCGGGGTCGATGCAGGTGGTCCATGCTGTGAGGTACTGTTCCACCATTGCCGTTGTTGTCTTCCTCGAGTAAAGATTCTATGGAAAAACGGCGTTTAGGAAAACTAGGTGTACAACCGCCACCACTGCTGGCTCGAGAAGACGAGCCACCTGGCGTGGTAGTGCCAGAAGGCAACTCACCGTCCAAGTTGGGCATGGATTTGGACTTCTGAATAAGGCTCTCGAATGTAGAAATGTGACTTGGCACCGTATCGGGTTGCACCTCCATGCCCCAAGTGGGTGTCAACGGAGAGAGGCGATGGAGATGAAGGTGAGGTTGGCTCTCTAGTTCCAGGATGCGAGCACGGACCGAGCGGATGACTTCAGATGGGATGAGCTGAGTGCGGTCGATATGGTGCATCTTACGATAGAGCTTGAGAAAGCCCGGTGAATCGTGTGCCCGGCGCCGATGGAGGCGAGGCAATGAGTGAGTGGAGATGGATCCAGTGGAACCTGAGGGATTCCCATCACAAACCAGTGACCCAGCACTTTCTGAGCGGGTGGCTCGCCCACCGCCAGAATGCCCATCGTTGAGTAGGTCGTCACAGCTACGTGACTTAATCTTGCCAGGGATGGGCGGGACCTCGTCAGCACTGCTGCAAGTCTCAGTATCCTCGCATTTTGTCTCCCAACTGTTCTTACAAAAGACAGACTGCTTAGAGGAGGTGCTGCCTTCCTGGCTGGCATCCTCAGCGTCAGGGTCAGAGGGGACAGGGGGAAGAAAGGTTGGTTGATAAGGACCTGGGGAGGTCAAACTTTTTGGATACATGTTGCATGCGTCCCCACCTTTCAGATGTCCAACAGAGAGCAGCATTGTGAAAGAGAAGAAGGAGGAAAGCATTTTTAGCAATAATACCCAGCAAAAAAAGATTGAAGAGCTGGGGAGAGGGAGAAGAACTAGGAAAGGAATGAGGAAAGGTGGAAAAAATGATGATTTGAGGTTGTTTGCTTCTGACTTCAACCAATACTTATCAAGGAAACTTAGGACACCAGACAGACGTTGTAAAGCAAAAAAACACAACAAACGAAAAAAAGTACTTTGATTTATTGGCAACATGGTTAGTACACATATTTCAGTCCGGGGAAGAGAAGGGAAAATACACATTCATAGAGAAAAAACAATCAAGTGAAATTGAAATGTTTGCGTTTAAATGTCTGTACCTTTGGCTCTGGCGGGTGAGGCTGGTGAGGAACGAACCACAGGCTTCTTTAGGCTGCTGCTCGGTCTGTAGGCATCCACTGGTTTAGGGGAGGTTACAGCTCTGTTGTGAGACTGGGCATTCACTTGGGAACTGGACGGCTCAGACTTCCTTCTCTTCCTGTAGTCGCTGGCAGCACTGCAACACAGTCAGACATCAATGAAAACTACTTTCAAATCTCTTTACAGTGCTGTACGCTGTTTGCAGGAGGAAAATGTGTATAGTCAGTATACTCAAACTACTTATGGACCAACATATAACAATACATGAGTAATAGCAAGCTTCTAAGCCAATAGAATTTATAGGAATTTATACCGAAGTATATAGCGAAGGTCATCCCACTTAAAGGTTCACTATCATTGTGTGCCTATTAAGCTGAGAAGCACATGCCATCTAACTGCAGCGTCCCGGTTTTGTCAGCCCCCCACCCCCTCCTTTCTCTCTCTACCTCACTTCTATGCTGTCCTCTGCAAGGATAGATAAAAGGAAAACAGACCACAGGAAAAAAAAAAAATCTACATTTTCTTAAGGAATGACTTCCGTTATTCAAAATGTCTTAAAACCCAATGGGCTTTATGTTCAGAACAAAGACACCCAATGCCACTGACATGAATTACATGGTCTATTCATCTCATCCCATTTATGCCCTTCCTATTCACCAAGGAAAATGCGACTGAATAAGCAGGCCATTGCTGAAAGGGAATAGGACGAAGGGGGGGACGAGGGGGGGTTGAGGGAAGGATAAGAGGTGAAGGACGGAATCAATAGGTTTGCTGGGTTAATTTAATCTGGCTCAGATTGTGAAAGGGATATGCTAATTGTCCTGCTTCAGTGGCAAACACAAATAAAGAGTAACACTAATCCTTGCAAAATCATCATAAATAGCAGACAGAGAGGCTACATGCACCAGAGTCATGGCAAGAAAGAGCAGATTTGATTCCTTGCTGTATCACAACAAGGACCGGTCCTGTAGAGAGGATGGGGGAGGGGGAAGGGGTGATGCAGAGGAAAATAAAAGAAACAGAGGTTACCTCGCAGGTCTCTCTGGAGCCTTGTCAGCAGGAGGAATATGCAGGGATGTCTGAAATAGGGCAGACAACAAAAGAGAATAGTGAGGTCCGCAGGAACAAAGACTCGAGGCAGAACACCTCACAATGCACAGCCTGCATGCGGTTGATGCTGTGCCACACTTAAAACTCTCCCCCAGCATAAGGTGCGATGGAAGCTGGTTCCACAAGGCACACCTGAGCACCTACCGGTGTAAGAAAAAATTCTGCTTCCTCTTGGGCTGCTCTGAAGGAGAATGGCATAGGTGATACAGCAAAGGATGTTGTGAGCCGAGCTCAGGGGGCAAATGATGTCCTGCAAAATCTGGCATGGATCAGGTGGAATGGGTCTAGTGGTAAAGAATAGTCGGTTCTCTTAAACTGCAATGGTCTCTCTGAGGACTATCAAATGCCTTTACAAAAACATAAAAAAGATTTCTAGTGAATTATGTTTCGAGGTAAAAAAAAAGAAAGAAAAAAAAGAAATCTAGAGCTTCATAAAGGCTGCCAAGGAATACGATGTTAGCAGATAGATTTCCAAACAATCCTTCAAAGCTATATGTTCAACATTCTTTACAAAGCAACAATATACTCATATTGTGCTTGAAACTGAATTGTTGATAAATTACATTACACACGTTTAACCAATATTTAATTGTCTTCAACAAAATATAATGACTTAGATTTCTCTGATTTATTATAAATCGTGAGACTTACAACACTACTAGAATACTCATGAATGTGAGATTACCTCAATGCGTTGGCGAGCGGAGATGTCTGGATTATAATCCAGCCTTTTTTTAGGAGGCTTGAGCCACAAGCAGCGAGCAGGAGGAGGAGGAGGAGGAGGATGAATAGGAAGAAGGTGAAAATGAGGTGAAGGAGGAGAAGCAGGTGTGGCATCATGGGGAGAAACCAAAAGACATGTGGAGAGAGTGACACCTGTTAGAGAATCTGAGTAATAAGATATGGAACACACACACACACACACACACACACACACACACACACACACACACACACACACACACACACACACACACACACACACACACACACCACACACACACACACACACACACACACACACACACACACACACACACACACACACACACACACACACACACACCACACACACACACACACACACACACACACACACACACACACACACACACACACACACACACACACACACACACACACACACACACACACACACACACACACACACACACACACACACACACACACACACACACACACACACACACACACACACATTATAAAATCCTCTATTGATGCTTTATTCGTTTGCTTATCTCAAAATAGCAACATAAAGACAACAGTATGTTTATGCTAAAATATATAAGGCCTACTACATCAACTTCTATAACACAAACACACGCAAACAAATGTGCCCACGTTCCAAACACACATGCAGAGTGTGAGAGCAAGCTGTAAAGCAGAAAGCCAAGTGAAGCTCAAGCTGCAGTGTTGTGTTTATTTATAATGCTGTGATTTAGTGCAGGTTTAATAGAGCATATAAACTCAGTCCATCAAAACTTCTTGTGACATGTCAACAAAATAAAAACTCAAACACTAAACATACAGTGAAGTTCTGTCCCAGCTGGACCAGCAAGTGCATGTAGAGAAACCATCTAAACTCTAAGGGCTTATTCAGTGGTGTGAAACAGTGAAATGATTACAGGTTAAAAATGTCAACACACGCTCCAACATGACTCCGTAAAGTCATGCCAGCTCCAGATGTGACATTTTTAGCTGAACATTTCGAATAAGCCCAACAAACCATCACCTGATGATGCTCTGGCATGGATAGAGGCATGACACTTTGTAAATCAGTCAGGTTGGGGTGATTTGATCCCAGATCTGTGGTTAGAGGCAATGCCTGCCCTGAGCCACTAGTTGTTATTACTAGCTACATCCAGCAGAGGGCACTACAGCATTTAGCTTGTAGATATGCAGAGCGTTGCTCCAGCAAAAGTGAAGATAAACAGAACTACTAGCAGAAATGAATAAATGGGCTGAATAGTGTTAGAAATTAAAATCAATGTTTTATGGCATAATTTAGTTTAAACATTCCGTCAGCTTAAAAGCAGTTTTATTCTGAAAATCCTTCAAAACGTTAGCCACATGCTAATGCTAACCGGAAATGAAGGATTTTCAGAATAAAACTGCTTTTAAGCTGACGGAATGTTTAAACTAAATTATGCCATAAAACATTGATTTTAATTTCTAACAATAGAAAAAGATGATTAACATATGTAGAAAAATCCTAATGTTTATCATTAGAAAAATGATGTTTTGCTTATATAATGCGATGATAGACAGATTGACTGACTGTTCTGTGCAGTTCAACCAGCAATAAGTCAGGTCATCTAAAGGATATGGAGCACACATTTTGACCTATTTTCCTTCCTAGCAACACAGGACTGAAAATAATTGTCCAGGTGTGTTTGTATGTGTGTGAACACTTCAGTGCCTGCTAGCCACCAGACCAAAAAACCCAGCAACGCAGAGACACAACACAGCCTGTCACAAGGGTGGGGGGAGGGGGGTCACAGCACCCAACAAGTACCACATGCCCAAACAACTAGCTCCACCCATTCTACCTGTAGACAAAAAAAAAACATGGGTGGAGTGGAGAAAGTGGGTGTATGCCTATGGCAGGGTTGCGGTTGAGGGAGTAGCTACGGCCCTGACTTACCGGCCGCCCAAACTCCAGCTCGGAAAAGAACTTATACCAAGGCTCGTTCTCTAAATCTATGTCATCATAGTTCTGGGAGAGCATGACAGGGACAGAGAGAGGAGGGAGAAGAAAGACAGGAAGGATAGTGTGGAAAGAAGTCACATAGAGAGAGAGAGAGAGAGACATGGACCTCATGGTTAGGAATTAGCGTAGGTGGCACAGGGAGATGGGCACAGGATGAAGATGTAGACTGGCTCATGGGGAAGAATGCAGTGATGCAAAACACAATTCACTCCTGACAAATCCGGCAGAAAATGTTTCGCTTCACTACTTGACAGTAATTCCAAAATGCTAGGGAATCCAAACGGTTTCTTAGGCAGTTTAGACTAGTTGATTTAATTTGCATACAAGCAATCAGGGCTGTCAATCCCATGACATAATCACATTATCACTGCTTTATTTTAAGCCTTTGCTCAGGAGACAGATAATGAAAACCTTGTTACTTTGAGCTTTACATATTTAACATCCAGCCTCATTATCCACACCTTCGTGCAGTGGATGGAATACTCAATACCGTATGTCAGGGAAAGGCCACATTCTCATCAGAGGTAGTAATTATATTTAAGAAGAAGAGAAAGGGGCACATATCGCAAGTGTTTGGAGAAGACACAAGGGGTTATTCCCATAGGGTACAGTGGGAACAGTATGGTATCAGTCAGCCATTAAACTTATCCATGTGTTACTCACTTAAAAACCTGAAATACCTGATCAAAGTTAACATACTGACTATGTTTTTTAATTGTTGTGTAATAATATTGATAAACATGCACACCATGAAGGTAGGACAGTGCTAATTATAAATAAGTAAATTATTACCATATTATTATTTGCTTATTATTATATTACTCTTTTAAAATCCTATCTTTATGCCTTTTTCATATTACCTTTTGTTTCTTTTATATTCCTCTTTTAATTCCTTGTAATGTTTTATATAAAGTGCTAGTTTTTGATAGGTAATAATAATACAAATAAACAGCCCAATGAACTCATTTGACCCCTTCATGGTTAAATAATGACTCTTTGAATGGCAGATTTAAAACTATGTCATTTAGGGTTAAGGATTGAAAGGCATCGTTCATATTGAGGCTCAACAGCTGCCGTGTAATGCTGCTTTATCTCATACTGATAAAGTATGAGTATGAGTGTTGTTGGCTGCACTGATCCTCCACTATTTTGCATGCATGATGGACAAATTGACTTTAGGAAGCAGATGTTTATCTCTGCTGATGTTACATGATAGATTATAGTGCCAAACACTTCCTTTGTATCACAGAGAGATATATGTTCATACCAAACCAGCCTGCAATAAAAGATATCACATGTGATGTAGGTATTTACATGCCACTAAATTAGACAGGTAAGCTTAAATAATGTGACTGCTGTGTAGACATGTAATCATTTACTCTTTCCTGAATCATTAAACTCCAACAGCTTTCTTTATGTTACACACTTCTGCTTGCACTGCATTCAAGAGGTTTATTTAGTTTACTGTTATTCTAACTGTAGAGATGATGCATTGGTTTACTACTCTGTCTGCTCTGTTCTAACCCTATTCCCACATGGAAATGGAAATGGAGATTTCAGGCCAAATGAAACACTGCCAGGAGACGTGTTGTTGTGTTACATCCCGTTTCTAAAAAGAGAATTCAGCTTTGAGACAAATGAGTCACCCTGTAAAAAAAGTGAGAGCCTAGAGCAGAGACTGCCAATTGTGAAGACACACAGAGAAACTAAACAAAGAGAGTGTCAGAAAAACATTTTTGTTTGCTATGTTTCATTACTGGAAACCAAATAGACCCCTCACAGCCAAACAGAATGTTATCGGAAGCCTTTTTCTAACCTGGAAAATTGAGAAAAAGCTTCTTAACATACTTATAAGAAGTCTCAGACAACATATAAGCCAGCGTGGGTTCTCTTCTACTCTTTACAGCTTCACCTTTTATTGCCTTATCCGGAACTGACTCATGTATTATTGCCCTGAGAGAGCTCTCTGCCGTCATTACATTAAACATCTACAAAACCGTCACAAATACCCTTTCCTTTTGCTACATAACAGACCCCGCATCTATAATGCTTTCTCCATTAGCCTGTTCTTTATGTCAGATACCTGCTTCCAATTATTTTTGCCCTTCCTCTACACAGTAATTATTTCTGCTGTCTGCCTTGTCATTCACCCCACACAGAGTGAACAGCCAGTACAGTCATTAGTGGGGCAGCAGCGCTGAAAACCTTCGCTTTCTACCGCCCACACTGTGTCTGACTGAAAGAAGTCCATGAAAAAGCCCATTATATAGAAACACATTAGGAAGAAAGGTACATGTGCTTATTTTTTGTATTTGACTATCCAGTTTTTAAGGCTGTAGCAGCATCTCTGCAGTGTTTTTTTGACATCATGTTGCCTAATGTTTAGTTGTTTACATCTGTATGAAATCACCCTCTAATTAGCTCCAGGTAAAGAAGATCAGCAACATGAATAATATTTTACTGAACAAGTATAAGCATAAAAGAATACAGAAATCACTTCAATGTAAAAATGATATAAATATAATCCCAAACGCTAATTTGAAGGCAGCTGAGTTAGCAAGATTCACATCTACTGAACGTTGAAATATTAAAGCCTGAGCTGTTTGCAGATTGGCTCCTAAAGGCCTCACAGGTTAATCACACATGAAGGGAAGCAGTAATGTGATTATGGCGACCAACTTTTAGGTGGATTCAACTTGATAAAAAGTCATATTCTTTACCAATCACAGAAAATGACATTGTAAAATATACTCACTGGTCTTTCATGATCCAGAATGGAGGACTTCCCAGGCTCGTATTCAAAAATACTCTTAGGCTCTGCACGGTACTTTCGAGTATCCACTTTCCTGTCGGGAGGACCCCACTGATTCCTGGTGCAAGAAAAACAGAAAAGTGTTTATTAGAAAACAGACAAAAAGTTATTTAATCATTTACCAATATAGTTTATCACAAATGATTTAGTTTAAATTATCTAAAATAAATATAACTATTACATAAACATAGTTAATCCATTCAATTTATTAATTCATGTACATGAAAAGAGGAGATTTAAATTGCTTAGATAATAATAAATGTAATAAATTAAGTAGTAGAGAAAAAGCTCCTCTTACGTGTCGGGCGAGTCTCTCTCACGGTCACTGTCTCTGGCCCTCAGTTGGAGGAGGGATGGCATGGATGGAGGTGGGGGGGGTACAGGGGATGGCGAGGGCTCCCGAGGACCCAGATGCCCTCCATTGTCCGAGGGGCTTTTGGCGAGTGGCCTGTACGTGTGTGTTCGGGGAGCGGGGTGGGCCATGGTGGTGCCGGACGACAGGCTGTAGTCATCTGTTAAGGAAAGGACGGAGGAGATAATGAAAAGGTGAAGCAAAGAGGTAAACCCAGCCAGAAAGGAGACCGATGTGTTAGGTAGGAATGATTTATTGAATGAGACAATACGTTAATTATATGCAAGGCTTTTCTCACCATTGTTTATGACCGCGTATGTTGCATTGTACGTGTCAGAATAGTCATCATCTGTAGAACAAAAGAAGAATGATTTATTGGGATACAAGCACAAACATACTTTACAGTCCAGTGTGTTGTTTCCTCTCCTGGGAGAACACCACTTTTAGTCAGCTTGAATACAGTCAGTTACAAAGTAATTTCCAATAGTGAACATTTTGCACAGGGGAGAGCATTATCAAAATCACCCAAGCAGCAAAAAACACGTTTCCTCTGTTTATCCACAAGCTTAGGATGACACTAACACCATTTTTTAAAATCCAGTATGGCTTTTTTTTTTTTATTTGCGAAGGGTCATAACACCCTACAGAATCAGTAGCTTGAACCATATCTTTATATAACTATGAGTATTAGTGGCTGTTTTCCCAGACTTCTAAGTCCACAGGGGGTTTCTCAAAAGATAAGACATTGCTGGGAATGTAATATTGCTAAATACATGAACTGAGAATATGTGAATAAACAAAGTCATGGTAATATACAAAGTCATGGTAACACGGCAGGATAATCAAAGGCCTGTGTATGTTTTTGTAGGCCATAATGACACATTGCGTGTGTGCTGCAGCAGAAGAAGCATGAGAAGATTAGAACAAACAAGCTTTGAACTGACTGTGTGATACTGTCGAGCCCATAAAATTAGAACAGATTTCCCAGGATAGCTCTGTGTCTATTAGAGGTTTCTCTCAAATCCTCCTCCTCTCCAGACATTCTTGCTCTCATCTAATGAGTTCTGGCTCAGAGCAGCTCTGGGTCTTTGGGCTTAACAAGAATCGACAGACACACAAATACACACACACACACACACACACACGCGCGCGCGTACCCATCATGCATGCTTGGCCAATTCCTCTCATATTGTCTGATGTTCGAATCACATCAATAATGGGACATTTCTTACCTGCTTTGTGAACCTTGTGGATCTGTTTGAACATAGTTTTGTACCAATCCTTCGGCCTATCCACCGTCTGCGGAGAGAGAAATAATCATAAAGATTGATGAGACGCGAAAAAGCTACATAAACTAGATAGCTGAAGTTAGAAAGGTTGCAACTGTTTTATGGGACGGAGAACTTATCGAGTATAGAAAATCACACTCAGCCTTTTTAGAGAACCATATTTCACTCCCAGAGAATTCAACGTATGCTGAGACATGAATCCATTTCTTAAGATTTATCCTTTGAGACACTTTCCATACGATTTCAGGATGATAACATCACCTTTTTACTTATTAACAATAAATAACCTTGTAAAAAATTATTTATATCCGGCTGTTTCATTACAATTAAATTACAAGGTATGTGCTCTTAATTTGTCCGAGTAAGATATTTAATTGAATTATTTTACAGCTAATAAGAAACAATGAACAGCATGATTCTCACACTCACATCCAATCTATTACAGATAAATAACAGTGAAATGAAAAATAGCTTTCTTTAGTTCCAATTCTATGTCCCTGGGTTAATTGTATATTCATCACAAGGATTTTCCATTTTGAAGTATTTTTTAATCAAAATCCTTTTCTATTCTATTCCAGTAAAACATTGAAAAAACGTGTGATAAATCATCTTGAACTCTAGACATAAATCTAATTTCAATTACAGTTGTAGCTGGGAGTTTAAGCATGATATATAAAACCACACTTGACTATGAGCATGTAAGTTGTGTTAGCTAGCAGAATTATATATAGTAGGATGTGTGTTTGGATATCAGTTGGAAAAAAACGTTTGGAAATAATGTTAGCTGGCGTCCAACTTCTCCTTATAAGGTGCAGACGTGGGAGGAGTAGCTAGAGGCAAACAGTACTGTGCAGCTCCATATCGCTTCATATTTTCTAGACCAGGCCTACTTTGGAGCAATCAAATCAAACCTTTGGGATTCTATTTCAATCTCTCTTGCAGATATAACCTTGTCTACAAATCCTTGCTTAGAAATAGCTCACATTAGAGAATATAAAGACTCTAACTTCTGTTTCACTGTGAGTTGTTGCGAGTCATTTTATCATTTTCCAACTAAATTAAAGGTTTTTCCATCATAATGTGTTGAGTGGTTATTTCAGCTTTTAAACATACTCACAAAAAATTACCAGAAAATCCAAACACAGCCAATAAAACCCAAAAAGATATGACAGTGCCAACAGGAATTTGGTAAACTCCATTTTTGTTAATGTTAAGGCGATTGTGCCTATTCTCAGAAATCAATGTGAGCAGGTTTGGTTTCAAATAGAGGATACAGAGGCCATGTTGCTACAAAACCAAAGTGGGAGCTCCTGGCTGGAAAATCCAGGGGAAACCGTGGTATGTGTGTCTTTGTGCATACAGGATAGATCTAAAAGCAACTTCAAAAAAGAGCTATCAAATGGCAGAGAGACTTAATCCTCCCTTTATTCAGTGGCACTAAACCCAGTGCCTGGACTCTGGTCAGAGACGAGGCAGGTTGGCTCCACAGTGAAGGAGTGTGTGTGACTGAGCATGTAGCATTGGCACGGCCAACAGACGGCCCAATTACCACTTCACTCTCCATGACTACCGAATAAAGTGCCCGCAAAAATGTTTGTCTGCTCACAACAAGAAGCATCTGTTTTTCTTCTTTTCAGCTTTTTTTTTTTCTCTTCACCTTTTCACTTTACTTTATTGGCTGTCTCTCATTCTTCCTGTTGCTTTCTCTGGCTCACTCATTCTGTAGTTGAACATGTCGGCCTTTAAATGCATGCTCTTCAAAAAATGGATAACTAAGTGAAGTGTTAATACAGGAAAAGCCTGAACAAAGATAACACACAGACAGACACTTTGACAAGTAAGCAGCAAGGACCCTGCAGTGCTTAAGCAAAAGACCTTGTCTGAGCTCAACATTATATCACAGAGGGAAGAAGAGAGACTCTCAGAAATGGTGAGGAGAGAGAAAGGGCTTTTTATATTGGGGGAAAATATGCTTACAGCTGAAGGTATTCAACTCTGGTGAGCCTGATCGCATATCAAGATTCAAGTCAGGGGAAATAGGTCAAAAATACTACAGTACCTAACGGAGTCATTCTACTGCACACTAATGTGCTTATCTCTGCAAGTGTTTGACCTCACCGTGCGGATGGCGATAGGGATGCCAGAGTCGTCCACAGGGCCGATGCCTTCATAATGAGGGGCTTTAATAACGGACACCTTTTTCTCCTCTTCTGTGAAGCGGGCGATGGGCACCATGCTGCTGACACTGGTGTGGCCCAGCACCACAGACTCCCTGTGAAATGACTCGCTGCCCTCTGGATAGGAGGAGAGTAAAGAGAAGACACGGTGGAGGTTGTAGCTACATAGTAAGTGAATTAGCCAAGAAAGGGCACGAACACAAGCGGAACAAGCAAACACTGATGTATTCTGATATGAACTGCTCTTTTGTATGCCTCGAGATTAAATAGTACTAAAAACATGTATTTCTTTGTTTAATTTGATCTGTCCCCCACAACTGAATGGTTCCGTCTTCTCCTAACAGGTATAAAGGAGTCTTATCTCAGGCTTTTGACAGATAGATTAACCTTAAGATCCACCAACCATTGAATTGAGTAGGCAATAATAAGGAGATTAATTATAAGGTCCTTAAAAGATTTACACATTCTTGAAATTCTAAGCACTTCAACTATTCAGAGCAGGTTTAATATTTGTGTAAGGCTTTTATATGCTGCATATAAGAGTGTCTGTGTATGTAATTGTTCTAAGGGAAAGCAGCAGGTACTCATTTCAAATTAAAAAGCATAATGACTCCCCTTATCATGCATGTTGATGATTTGTGCATGTCATACTGTCGAACTGTGACTCACCTGAACTCCTGCTCTGTCTCTGGAGCCCAGTGTGGAAGGAGGTGGGGGGAGGGGGATAAGATGGAGGAGACATGGGCCTCTGAGGAGCACTTCCATTCATAGCATAAGAGAGGACCTGGCCCTAGGAGTGATCCACAAGCCAGAAACAGAGATAGTCATTATCAATCACACATAGCAGCAACATGTACACATTTCCGTTCATAGTGTGAAATGTTGCTGTTCTGACCTCCAAGATTAGATAATGAGTGAAAATATAGAAGAATAAATTGCAAAACAAGAGAATGTTAGTTTTATAAATCCATTATTTCATCATATTGTTATAAATCTTAACATTAAAAAGGGGTAGAGGAGCCTATTATGGAAATCAGTGTAGATGTAGACAGATATTTGGGCTGGTAGGATTCAGGAATTGCTGAATCTGAAGAGACTGTACAATGAAGGAACAGTTAGTTAGTGATAGTGAGGGAAAGGGGCACCTTTGAATCACTTCACTTCAAAACAGACAGAAGGGATTAAAAAGGTGGCGATAAGCAGACAAGTCTTTCAGATTCACATTCATTTCATTTTAAATTAGTAAAAGACAATGGACACAATGGGAAGCTTTTCTGAAAAATGCTCTGCCATTGAACACAGGAACATTTGATTTCATCTGACAAAAGGATACAAATAAAGCGTTATTATTAATTGTAAGGCCAGTGTGCTCAAATCAAAGAATCATGATCACTCTCAAAAACGGTGACAAGAAAACAATTTTAAACCAAGAGTATGAATTTTGCCATTATAACTAGTAACGTATTTTTGAATCAATGATTGAATCTCAAGTTCTGTTAAGTTTTGGTGTTGTTCTAAATTTATGTTTTCTTGGATGTAGAAGCAACCAAGCCTGTTAGCACATCTGTGAGTGGAGTAAAGGTTGGGAACAGCATCTGGTGTACAGAAACATATTTCTAGATGTGTCTCTCTTTAATGCACAAGGCTTGGAGTAAACAGTGCAAGCAGTATGTCAACATGGTTATTCAGTGTCAATACGAAGTGTATTTCAAAGATTTACCATTCTGTGAAACGGTCCTTTACATCTACTCACATGGGCAATCAAATGTGATACATTTAACTACAGTCATCATGCACCTTGCATAATGAAATCAACAGCCAAATCTTCCAACTTCACCCTGCTATTACCTCTATTAAAATTGTTTTTATCTCATATTGAATTTTTGATTTGAACTGGCCTTAAGTGACAGAATAATTGCATCAGATTTAAAAACAAAAAGGCACAACGAAGAGAAACATAGACAAGCACATATACAGAGTTATCCTAAGTGCAGACACATGAACATTATAGGGGAACATTAGGTTGTAGACGATGGTTAGTGAAAGGCAAAAACCGGTAGTAAAAGCACAATTCCTGAAAGATTGGTTCAGCCATCGAAATGTGTGAGGGGAGGAGGAACCCTTTTGTTTCTGTTAATAATGTGTGTTACAGCAGTGACTTGTTGGAATAATTACATTAGTAACAGCGTCTGCTGCAGTAGTGGAGGAGGCCACAAAGGCTGTTAGCACATCATCAGGGCCAGCAGTGGATGTGTAGGTGGAGACAAGGCTGAGCGTGGGCGATGGCGTGGGGGAGGCACCGGGGGAGTCCAGGCTACAGATCTGCAGCTCGTCCAGCAGACCCGCCGTGGACGACGAGTAGTGGCTGAGAGCTGACACCGTCAAGGGGGAAGCCGAGGGCGACGCGCAGCCCCCGCCGATCATACCGCTGACCAATGGGAGGCTCGGCCTGCTGGCTGCACCCGCTCCACTAGCAACATACGGGCTGGGGGACAGAGCCTTGGGCATTAGGCCTGGCAGGTAGTCCAGTGACTCTGAGCTGTGGCAGCGATAGGGGGAGTGCCGGGCTGTGGGGTCAGGGGAGGGAGGCCCCTGGTGTTGGAGGGAGAGGGAGTTGTTTGGAAAAGGAGGAAAGGAGGAGAAGGGCTTAGTGACATCACTCATTAGCCACGCTGTCACAGAGGACGTGTGGAAGAAACACGTGAGCCTAACAGAAGGCGATATGCTGCAGTGAAACCACACTGTCATGAAGCTGCAGCTGCATCTCCTGAAACATGGTTAATGCTGTGATAGGCGGTTAGTTCAAACTCTGTGAAGGGCATTAAATACAGAATACAGAAAGCAACAGGGGTAAAAAATAATTAAAACAGTGGGTTATCACACATACATTACGAGTTCACACTTATGTAGATCCACAATTAGTTTGGTTGTTTGGATGGTAGCACCAATACTAACAAAATAAACAGCATCACACATAAGCATTATATGAAGAGGATAAAAACTCCTGCATTTCTTGTTGTCTATGTAAGGCCAAACACTATGAACAACACTGTCATACTTCCCAGTGTTTGTATGCTTCAGCACAAAAGAAAAACCACACTTATTTTCATTTTTAGCCTCTTAATTCAACCCCTCCTGGCCAAAGTAAACTAGCGGTTTTGTATTATATTGACCTTAAAAGCAGACACAACCGTTTCTCTTTTTTGTTTTGTTGTTACACTATATAGTCAGTTATGTACCAACAGTTCTGCAGGAGAAGGTCTTGGTGGAACGGCAGGAGGCGTCTTCGTTATCTCCACCTGGGATGGAGATGGACTCAGGGTTTGATTTGGGGCTTGATCTGTGACCCTGGGCTCTGCTGTGTTGTTTGGAGGCTCCGGATGCTTCAGATCCTCAGAGTCGGTGTGGACAGAGAGCGATGCTGCTGGTGTTAGGGTAGGATCCGTTTTAGGTGGTGGGGAAGTAGGTGGAGGGGAACCTGTGGGCTGGGTTTTAGGTTGGGGGTCAAGGTGAGAGTTGAGGTGAGCTGGGGGGTCAGCGAAGGTGACAGGGGTTATTCTGAGGGAAGACACCTTACGCTCCTGGGCCTGTGTGTTAGTGGTGACAGATGCACTACCGTTTGTAACCTCATGTGCTACAGTGGACTGTTGTGACTGTTGGATTGAGTTTGCATTGGTCTCTGAGTAAGAATAAGAGGATGTGGTATTAATAGTGAAGGACTCTTTTAAAACTGCTTTCTCATTGTGCTTAAATGTAAGCATTCCAGTGCTGAAGTCATCAGGCAGGGCAACAGCGGAGTGATAGTCTGGCGGATTAGTGCCAGTGGGGGAGAAGTGTAAACTCTCTTTTCTTGGGGGAGGCAATGGAACGTGATCATTATCATTATCCTTATTGACCAATTACAAAGCAGCAGCCAATGTAAGTTCAAACAACAACAGAGAAAAATCATCAATGCAAAGCTTGATACAAATGATTTTCCATATTCCACATAAATCTCAGTGTAAATGATCCATAATTACGATAGTTTGTGGGGTAACAGACCACGTTTTTGATTTAAATAGCTTTAAAACATGGTACAAACAGAAATGCTAACATCTGTCTGTGTGATGTGTGAGACTTTTTACCTGTGTTGGAGACTTTTTGTCCTGCAGGTTGGGTCTGACACTGCGGAAGCCTTTGGCAGCTAGAGACGAGTTGCTGGCGTCTCCATTCTTAAGGCCATCTGTTACACTTCGGGACCGCCAAGAATCTGGAGATAACATTAATAATATTACCATGACAAACTGCATTGATTAGCAATTCTGGTCTTTCTCAAAAAAGCATCAAATTCACTACAAAAGAACAGCAACTTACCCAAGTCTGACAAGTGACACTCACTCTCTGGGGATAGAGAAGACACAGCAACAATAAGTGACATGATTGGATGTGTGGTCACTTTTTTTCCCTTCAACAAATGTCAAAATATACTGCATAGGGTTTCTACTGAAGTAGTCATGATCTCACAATGGTTGGGAATGTTTAGTATGAGAAAGAGAAACTTTATGTTAGGGCTAAGTGAGAAAACAGAGATCTGAAAATAAACAAATAGGATTACATGACTCATTCTGATGTGAGATGCACCATTTCATCTTCAGTTTTTCATCATAATCTCAAGACGGAAAGTGACAATAAAGGAATTCACAGGCAACAGACATTACAGATTTGTAAAATCAGAACCCTCACAGCGTTAAAACTATCCATTAAAGCTATACACACACTATTTGTTTGAAAGTAGGCTTTTTTCAGAAGGTTGCTCTTTACAGTATGTGCAGTGGTCTACACATGTTCCATCAGTATCTGGCTCCATTACAGAAATAAAAATAGACTGTGTACATTAAAAAGAGAATGAGGAGAGTGCTTAAGGCATTTCATGCACATCAGGACTTGCTATGCTCCCCAGACTAATAAAAGACAAATCCTCCAGAGCACACTAATGTGAGCCCCATTATTGAACATAAAGATTAAAATCCACACAGCGGAATGACCCCTATGCATGGAGCCAGAAGACTTTTAAGGATCATTTCATCCTGGCATATTCCCATAAGTGGCTATTGAGGGTCTTTGGGTGATACAATGTTTGCACTCGCCACTTTATAGTTGTGCAAATATTTCTCTGTCAATTGATTCCACTTGGCTAGGAGGATACTCTATGTTTGATTCAAGACCAGAGCTGCATATTTTGGACTAAAGACTCTAAGTTTAACAGTATGCTAAACAGCAATGGTGTACTGGTCCCTCAGAAGCTGACGCCTGCATGTCTCCTGCACATTAATGCTGTCGTGGCTACACACAGGACCCTATTGCCCTCTGAGTGAGAGTTTGGTCAGTCCTTCCATGCTTCTTAACCTTCTGTATCTCACAACAGCTCATCAGTTTTCAGACAGTGCCCTATTATTCTTGAAAGGAAGCTGACAGTGCAATATTTCCGGCATGGGTGCAGCCGTTTACTTTGATGCTGACAAGCACCAGGCACTAACTTTGCTCTTTCAGCAAAGGAAAGGAATAGGCAGCTTGGGACGACCAGCTACGTCTTAAGGAAGCTGAAAATATGTTTTAGAATCAGTTCCTCCTACCCTGGCTATGTGAAATGCTCTTCAGTTAAACATCTTAACTTGGCCTGTATAACCTCGAATAATGTGTAAAACCTAAAAAGGCAAACATTGTATACATACAGCAAATACACTGTTTGCTTGCATGAAAGTGAAACCCTGTTCAGGACGTATGTATAAAGCTAAATGGGGCCATTTAGAGTCATAGAGTAATCTGGGGGGGATGGCATGGAGCAGTGGGAGATCATGACTTATATGAGTTATCAAAAGCAAGATCACAATACATTATGACTGATTAAGGAAGCAAAAACAGGCCCAAGACCGGAGACTAAACAAAACACTTCAATCAACAAAGAACTGATAAGAAACAAAAGGGCATCACACAGTCCGAACATTGCTTACGCATAATGAGGAAGCATGGAAACATTTCAAATATGCTCAAGTCATATCAGTTTGGTGAAGCCCAAACATGATATTGAAAAACAAGCCACTGTTTAAAGACTTACCTCATGCTTCAAGGGATAAGGCCAGTCAATACCTGAATCGGCCTGTATTTTAGCTATCTATATCACTTTTTCCATCATCTGTTAATCTGTAATGTATTTGTGAGTGTTAGTACCTGAGCCTAGATTTGGAGAGCTCTGGACCCTCTTCATGGGAGAGAGCATGTGCGAGCTTTTGCGAGAGCATCCTCCGCTATCTGAGAAATCACAGCCAGGCAGGTGATCATGGCGGCAGAAGCAGCAGCACACATGCACATGCAGATAAAAACACAAATGCGTAAATAAAAACAGAGCCAAGGCACATGCACTTAAAGAGCCCGGTTTTTACTGAATGAGCTCAGGATATGTGTTGAAGCTGGTGTATAGCACAAGAGCAAAATGTGATTGTATTGGATTAGTTTAAACTTTTTAATTGGGGGTAATTTGCATTTCGAGGAGAAAGTATCGATCTGGCTAAAACATTTTTTAAATCTCTGTTTGCTGCCCTGGTGACACACTTTGGAAAGACCTCGATCAACTCAACGTTGGTAAAATAACTTCGATACTCTTTTAAAAACATTCAGTTGGTGCTTCCATACATTTTATATACTAACACAGAAAATGTTGAAGTCTGTAAAAAGCTTAACTTCAGGAGCAAATGTTTAGGTCAGTTCTGTACAATTTTAAATATTGGACAATACACGTGGTTTAAAAAATGTGTGTCAAACTGTCTAACTGTGGTAGTTTTAACGCTTGTCTCGACAAAGCTATTCATGGGCCGTCCTCTATATTGTAAATATCACTACGGTGAGTCAGGCATCCACTGTGTGGTGTGTGGAGAAGCCTCAAAGACGGATTACTCTACATTGATTCTCCGGCTGTAATACACACTTTAGCTCGGGATGACTGCCAAGTTTAGGACAAAGCTTTGGGAACATATTGAGAGACAATTACGTCACTGTGGTTATTAAAAGCAAACGGGGTTAGTATTCTTATTGATGCTTTCAGTCACAATAAACCAGGCCAAATATATGGATAATCACCAAAGTGGTGAAACAGGGTCAGGGTTATGTTTATAGATGCATGCCTGGGGTAGAGCAACACTACAGACATAGCAGCGTTTAAAATAGCAATGTGGTATCTATATTGTTGAGTGTGAAATGTAAACAATAGTTTGATGTTCAGTTAATTTGTAATCAGGAAAAAACAAGATCCATTGCAAAAATAAAAAACATAAATATTCAGTTTAGGAAAACAATAATAATGGACATGGACTGGATGATTCCCCAACAATCTCATACAGTGTGCGAGCATTTGTGTACATGTATACATTAATACCTGTATTCATATTGAAGAGGACTTCTTACTGGTCTACTGCAGGGGGACACACTTTCCTGTAAAACAAAAACAAAGTATGTCAGACAAACAATAAATGTCCAGTAACTTGTTTTAAAAAAACGATCATCTTGTGACTGCTACAAGAAATAATTAGGTGTTTTTCATTATAAAATAAATCAATGTAATTCTCTGTGTTAACTCTTTGTATCCAATCTAGAAAATAAGCATTTATTTTTGAAATTCTTGCCGTTTCCTACTGCCCACTAGGTCATTAGGAGGACTTTGATCAAATCACAGTACTTAAAAGAGCCAAAATCTCTGTGCAGGGGAAGTCTGGGGAGACTAATGATGTTTAGGGCAGAAATGCTGTGTGCTGACAAGATGCTGTTAACTGCAAGTCAGCTCGGCCTACTTTCACACATTTAATTCCCAATCTGCAAAAAACCTGGGCTGAAGGCTAAATTGTGGAATTCCTGGGCATGAACATTGACAAAAAGGGAATTCATTGAATCGTTAACTCCCTTAATGAATTTCCAGCCAAAAAAAGAAGAAGCTGAAAACATTAGATTTTGCCCACAATGAAAAGACTATCTCTCAGTGCCGGTATTTAGTTTCTTTAATAAACTGATGTATTGTTTCAGAACAGAAATGCAATTCAAGTATTTGCGTTCAGGTGCAGGTTTGAATGATCTGTCACACAGTCTTTTAAATACCTTTTCAAATAAATTCAACACATACTGCTTGTCATTTTGAAAATATGTTTATACCAACGCCTAAACCCATGGAATCTCAATGTGGGAACATAACGTCTTACAGCTGAGGGACATAATGACTGTAGCAAATGCACCCAGATGAAAATAACTCAAATGATAAATGATACACAATACAATGTTTACTTAACTGTGACCATATGTAATGCATGCCTCTTGCTATATGAAGACCTTTTCTAGGAACTGTTGCAGTAGGTATCATGATTGATATGAATAGGGCACACATCAAAAGCCAAAAGGCGCAACACTGACTGTTGCATCGCAGCGTAAACGCATGCAAACGTGTGTCATCACAGGATTTAAAAAGTATGACAGAAACTACAAGTGACAGCCTTCAGTGGCTGCAGCAGGGATCATGCAAGTCTGGTATAAAAATAACTATAACATACACACAGCTAACCTTGTTTCACACACGCAGATATTGTTGTGAAGTGATGTGAACTAGCTGTTGTAACTCTTTATCGACTCTCAAACATACGGTTTTAACACATACAGTTTGAAAATGTGCTTATCAGTGATTTAAAGTGATATTAATCCTGGTAGGGGAGCCATATTTGGTCATACGATTTTTCCATGGAATTGTCTTGTCCACCTCTGTTAATCTTGCAGTTGCCAGCACTGTATAACCATATGTTCAGTTACCATACATCAGAGCAAATACCCAATTAGGTGCAAGGACAGGCAGCACACCGATGTCAATTGGGAATGCTCTTTTCAATACCTTTTCTTTCAGTAACTTCGTTTAGCAGAGGAGGGTTAAATGTACAGATAGTTTGGCGGTGCCTTCTTCAGCCGAGTGAGTAAATCTGTACAGAATATGTCACACTGCAGTATAACAAGTCAGTGAGTAGGCATTTCCCTAGACATAAAGGCAGTGTAACATTATGAAAGTTCAGTTCAGGTTAGATTTTGGTCGTGAATTCACGTTGAATCCTGTTACAGATCTGCTTATGAAAATGCATTCGTGCTTTAACACCAAGGCAACTCTTGGCCTCATTGCACATTGACAAGTAAAGTCCGGATAATTGTGGCTATCACTGAGAGGGGCTTATTTTGGAAAAGGTATGCAGTCTTATTCTGCCATGAATGTGTAAACTAACTGAGCAGTTGGCTCTTGTGGTGAGTGGCACTGGATGAATGGCATACCATGTATTTGACCACACACAAAAATGTACAGGCATCCAGTTGGTATTTTTGATGATGACTCATAATACATATTCTCACTTTAACAACGTTGTGATACTAAGAAAACATTTATACATTATAATGACATACCAGTATCAAAAAACTTCTGTTGCAGCTTTGAGCTGTAGTTTATCATTACTCATTAGCATTAGAATGGATAAGCATAACATGTCCTGAGCGTCTTCTATTTATCTCAAGATACTTTAAAGACAAAACAAAACATGCCAAGTAACCCGTCTCAAGATTGTCCTGTACGTTATATTTTCATGTTGTGTACTTTTTATTTGTATCTGCAGCCTTTTGTTTTGCCAAAGCAGTGACATGAGCATTACAAATGTATTACTTATATTATACGTATTACTATAGAAAGTGTTTCCTAGATATATTGAGGTGCCTTTGGGATCATTTCCTGCAGGTAAAACACATAACAGTAAATCTTTGCAAGAGCTCTTCAAAAATAGGTGTCACTTGTAAGTATTGTACATCATCCTCTTACAGGAATATGCCAATAATAAACATATCCAACTATAAGTAAACTATATTATTTACTTCTACAGAGTTCACAATGGTGACTGTGAGGAGGAAATAGTATGACTTGTGGTACAAGCCGTGCACCGTGGGATACTTTCAGCCCCCTGAAGACCTAACCCTCACCCTCATACAGTATACCCTCGTAAATCTATCTCTGAAAAACACACATACACACAGATGCACTGGAGTAAATCATGGGTCTGGCGTCACCGGCAGTCGCCGTCCAAATGATGGTCAGATTATAAACAGGATCATGTTTCTTGGGGACAGATCGGCGGCGACACAGCAGCTGTGGCCGTGGTGTAATGTTATGGCTGGACACTTGAAGAAACCCCGCCAGGCTCTACACCTCCCAGCAACTCTCACTATCTGCTCAGGCCTGTTTAAGCTTTTAATCACAAAAAGAGCAGCACTCTCTAAAGCCGGTGAGAGATCATAAGCATGCGTGTGGTAAACAGTATACACCAAACGTTTCCATTAGGGAGTGCTTCTCTAAGATATAGTGCTTAATGTAGTGCTTACAAGTAGGGGAAATACATGTTTACGGATCAAACACTTGTTATTCTATCATTTCTAATAATGATCAATCCATCCCCAGAACTGTCCTCTACATTTAGTGTTACTATATGTTCAACAAATGAAAGATAATGAGCTGAATTATTTAATAACAAACCTTAATTTCCAAAGAGTTGTTTTCAGTTCTTGCTCTTGTGTTGCTGGCAGAAGGCTTTTGGTGTGTTAGGATTCTTTCGAGTAATTTCATTTTTTTACTTTGCAGCGGTTTATCCACCAGCTGTAATTTAGGCATTGGTAGGCCACTCTGAAGACTTGTGTGTGTATAATTACTGAGTGCAATAGCTGTGGGACTGCAACTACCCAAGTCAGAGCTTTAAGCCACAGAAGGCAGTGATGTCCAACACCACAAGCCCATCAAGTCTCATTAGCCTGTTAAGTGACCTACTGGGACCTATTCAGTTTATCCGAGTGGACTATTAGGGTTTGAGCTTTGAGTCTTTTTGAAACACAAGACACTGTTGTAACAACAATAGGTTGTAAGCATGTGCTTCGTTCTTTTTTATTAAGGGAACATTACCATTGATTTTAAACTCAGCTACAGACATTTTATATATTGGCATCCTCCCCTTGACAACATGAATATTTTCCAAACTGGAGAAGTTAATATTGTTGACCTCTAAAGGACTCTTGTAGACACAAATCACGTGTTAATGACAAAGTCGCAGTGAGTATATGGGAATTTCCACGAGTAATCAGTCGCTCATAAAATGTTTGTGTTGACAGCACTTAGATGACAAAGCAGCACTTAATCAATGCCACTAGAACTAGGTTAAAGCATAGCTTCAAATATCACAAACCATTATGCCCTATGATCAAAAGGAAGGTCATTTGGCTGGGCCCTTGTATTTTAAGAAATGTCCTCAAAAAACATGAAGAAATATTTAACCCAGACAGGGTAATGGAAGCACAAAAGGAAGGAAAGAAAATAAAAACATTGTCCACAAAGAGCACTGGCCGGGATGCCATTAGTCAGTGGCAGTTTGCCGAGGCAGAGACAAAACAAGAATCTAAAAACAAACGTGTCAACATCCTTCTATGAGAACATTTTAAAATTGGAAACATAAAATATGTTTCAGTCTTGTGCTTACTGGACATGGCTATGGATGTTAAACAACAAGGTCTTACAAGTCTACAAATGAATTTGTTCTTCACTTGATCACTTGTACATCTTACTCGATACAGAGATTATTACTTATAAAAGGGTGCATTTCTTCGGCAAATGGACTCCAAACACTAAATAAATATGTCACAAGGAAATAATGACTTACAAATGAATATATACAAAAATATATCAATGATTGTATAAATAATCAAATAAACTCCAAAAGGATTGAACTCAAAACAAAAAAATATGAGTTTGTTGTAGCCATTTCGTTTTTTTTAAATCCCATGTGTCGATTTCATTTAATTTACTTTCAGATTCACATTTACATTTTTCTCCAGTGTGTACGCATGTGTCACGAGTGTGAGGGCAGCAGGAGAGAGTGAACAATCATTGGAGATAAGCCGACTATGGCTTCAAGGGTCCTGACCCTGAAGTGGTCACTCAGACTGAGACATACTCACAGGATGTCAGCAGATTAAGCTCCTTAGCAAATCTATTTAAAGACCCAACAGAAAAGTCATCAGATAGCCATTTTATGTTTAGCTGTTCTCTACCAAGGATTATCAGCTGTTGAAAGCTTGATAAGAAAAAATACCACATTACGGCAGAAATCTTAAAAGGGACTGCACTACTCTGTTATTAACAAGAAATATTCAATAAGTGAGTCGGGGAGATCAGAGAGAACAAAATCCCTTTTAAACTAGGCAACAGCATGTCCCTGGGGATCCGACATAAATCTCAGTGGAAACATGGTGAGCCTGAAACCCGACTGACAGGGAGAGTGACCCCTCCGAAAGAGGAAGTCTTTAGAATGCTTCATTCCTTAATTACTGAACTTGATCCAAGTTGTTTAAGTGGTGCATTTTTGTGGTGAAAATGCAGGGTTGCG